GCATTGTAAATTTTGGTCAATGACATGAGACAAAGTATATTATGTGAACTGCTGTATGAAAAGTGAATTTACTCTGTTAATCTTCACCCAAATCAAAATAAAATTAAAAAAAAAATACTTTGTACTTCATAGCTACTTAGTAAATGGTGCACAGATAAATGAATAGAGGACAAGGTAGAAAATTGAATGGAAGGGTGGAGGAAAGGAAAAGGCATGCAGACTGGAGAGATAGCTTGATTGATAAATGGCTGGTTGGGGGAGGGAGAAGGGTAGGAGGAATGGAGGGAAGAATAAGTAACTGGATAGATGGAAGGAAGAACCAGTCACTCAGCAGATGGATACTAGAATGGATGAAAGGATGGATGGACCAATAGAGGAATAGAAGGGTGAATATGTGGATAACTGGATATATGGATAATGTACTGATGATGGATGTTTATAAGATCTTTCTACTTTCTTATAGTAATTAAAGTAATTAAAACCAAGGACTTCAGTGTCACACAGAACCAAGTAGAAATCCTGATTTCACTCCTTTTCTACCATGTGACCTTGGGCAAACTACTTAACCTCTTTTAACTTCAGTGTCTCATCTATAAAATGAGTCTAATCATACCTACCTCATAAGGTTGTCATAAGGATTAATGCATATAAAGTGCTTTAACACTTCATAAATTGTAACTCATTATTGTTGTTATTTGGTTAGAAAAAGCCAAGATTCTTAGGAACAGCAATTCAAGTGTAGTCAAAGATCCTGGGCTACTATTTCACAAGCTAGTATGTGAGTGAGTGAGTGAGAGTGTGTATGTGTGTATATGCAGGTTTTGATAATACTGTGCTTTTTTATTTTTAAAGTTTCATTTGATTTTTAAAACCTCATTTGATTTTTCCATCAAGTGCTGTAGAGAAGCAGAACAGGTATCATTATCTTTATGTGTCAGATAAGAAAACTGATGCTCAGAGAAATGATTGATTTGCTCAGGGTCACATTGTTGGTATTTTTTAGGAAATCAGGTTGAAAGTAAAATTTAAACCTGAAAATGTAGAATTAGATTAAGAAAACAATGAAAAAAGACTTCCCTAAATCACTACAACTCCTTAGTATTAGAGATTAATCATCAAGTCATATAAAAACTCACTAGGAACACAGATACATAAACTCTAAACACTTGAAGATAATTTTGAATTGAGGCAGAGGTGAAGTGAGGCAGAACAGAATATTCTTTCCCTGTGGTAATTTTCTTTTCAGAATGTATACTTTATAACAGCAGAAAGCCAAACAATTCCATTCAACCAGTGCATTTTTCTACCCTATGATATATTTGCATGTGTGCTATAGGCCAAATAACAGAATCATGGAAAGAAGAGATTATATGGGCCTAAAGTTTAGTCTTTAGGAGCCAGTGGACAGTGCAAAGAGTTAAAGTACTTGATTAATAACTGAAATGTTGACAGTTCGACCCACCCAGAAGTGTCTTGGAAGTAAGGTGTGGCAGCCTGCTTCTGATAGGTCAGAGCCTTGAAAATCCTGCGGAGTCTTTCCACTCTGCACATGTGGGGTTGCCAGGAGTTGAATTAACAGCAGCAAGAAACTGGCAATTAGTCCTTATTCTTATCAACCAAGGCCAGACTGGGTATACTCAGGGTACATCTCTAACTTTGTGAGGTCAAGGTCTCAGAGGATGATGATGGCCATTTGTTCACTCGAAGCCAGTCTGGGTGCATATTAGAGACGGCACAGGCTGGGCAGGTCATTTCTGTGAATGTGGTAGTTGTTACATAACTTTTGTGGGTGGTGATGGTTTTATAAATCTTTAAACATTTGCGGATAGACAATAGCTTGTTTCCAACCTGCAGTACCTCACTGAAACTTCTGTCTGCAGGCGCCCAGAGATCACCATCGTGGCAGCTGAACCACTGAGACCCACCTCTTGGTTCCCGGGAGCCCCTCCCCCAGGACTGGGCTTTCCCCCACCTTCTTCAGCAGGCCCTTGGCGGCCCAGTGAGCTGGTTCCCGCTGAGGTGAATAAACATCACATTATCTCTTTATTTTTAAATAAAGTTCAAAGATAAGAACAATGAGACTTATTATCAGCTTGGCTGTTTGCCCGTAGATGTCTAAAATCTTCATTCTTTATTTTGCAGCTCCCACCTTCTTATGAACAAGTCATAAAAGAAATCAACCAAGTTCAAGTTAACACTACAAATAATAATAATGCTGCTGCCCCGCCAAGGCACACTATTACTTCTGCAACTCAGACTGACTTTTCAGAAGAAATAGACAACCAGCTGCCTCAAAGTAATGCAAATAATTTGTCCTTCCTGATTCTAAGGAAGTAATCAGTAGGCTTCCAGTCTTTAAAATAATTTGCAATCTGTGCATAATTCCTTGGTCTCCGCTTCCCAGTCAGCATGATCACTGTGTGCATTCTTTAGTTGGGTATGCCATGATTATTATCATAGGTCATTCTCACAGGTCACAGCCCCAATCTCATAGGCTCACCCAAGTTCATAATACAAAAAAATCATCTGTGTAACTTATAGTGGATATTTGTGCTGATGCCACTTATTCTCATTCAGAAGGATGTTATATTTAGCAACAAAAAATTGTTAGGATGCTAAGGGTGATTGTCCTGTTAGGCTTTAAAAAAACTTTGTGTTAGGCAACAGAAATGAGAATAAGTTACTTTGAAAAATAAAGCAAGGAATGTAGCAACTTTGGCAACCAAAAGGAAATGGCTCATATGATAAATCCAGTGACAGGAAGTTCATGATGTTTTTAAATATTATATAATGAATATTTGTTATATGAACAAATAAAACATGAAGAACACTCCTGCAGGAAGCTGAGTATAAACATTTCCCCAGTGATTCTGGAATTACTTTTAACTAATGAAGAAAATCACCGTCTCTTTATTCCACATTTATATTAAGACAATATACTTATCTTTTAATTTTTTTTTTCTTTTAAATTATAACATTGCAACTTGTTTGTGTCCTCTTGGTCTTGTCAGCACTACAGTCACCTCTCAAGCCTCTTCAGCCTTCCCCAGCAGTCTCTGCCAGTGATCTTCCAACAAATGTGGCACCTTTAATAGTCTTTGATATTTCTGAGGAGCAGAATTGTCCAGAAATCCCCAGTGCTACAAGATGTCCAGTGCCAAGGCCAAGATCGAAAAGCAACCTCAGACCAGTCACCAGAAATACTCATATTAAAGAGCAAACTCACCAGAAAATTAGTGCCACGGCCGCAGAAGAGGATCCATTCCCAAGCAGGCCCCAATCTCTGTTGGACAATACCAACGACTTGGATAGTCACACAGTGATGAACATCATGAACGCAGAACGAAGCCAAAATAGTGTTGTCTCAAGAGTCAAAGCATTTGAGGGTCAGACAAATACAGAAACCTCAGGACTGCCCAAGAAGCCAGAAATTACTCCCCGCACAGTACCCCCAAGGCCTGCTGTTTCCTCAGGGAAACCCTCTGTGGCTCCCAAGCCAGCTGCTAACAGAGCTTCTGGAGAATGGGACTCCTGGACAGAAAACAGACTCAAGGTGGCCTCGCGGGAAGGGCTCGTCCCACATCCTCCACCTCAAGAAGCAGACAGTATCCCAGTAACCAAACCTGAATTGCCAAAGAAACCAAATCCTGGCCTTATACGAAGCATTAATCATGAAATTCTGGGAAGAGGGATGATGGCCAAGGGCCCTGATGGTGGAAAGAAAGTCCCAACTCCTGCTCCACGGCCTTTGTTGCCGAAGAAATCAGTTTCCTCAGAAAACCCTACCTGCCCTTCACTGAAACCGGTCACTGTTCCTCCCCGACTCTCAGTGGCATCCCAAGCCAAAGCGTTCAGGTCACTGGGAGAAGGACCCCTGGCCACCCCCCCAGTTCCAGTTCTGCAAAGCAAGCCCCCAGGGGACATCGATCTTATTAGCTTTGATGATGATGTTCTACCCACCCCATTGGGGAATCTGGCTGAGGAATCTACCACTTCAGAGATGGTTCTGGGTGAGTAAAAATCAGAAGTGGAGGGGAATCTAACCTCATCGCAGGCTATCTTAAGTGGCATGTGCTGAGTTATTGAAGTGTATGTACATGTGTGTGTTGTGTGTGCATGCATAGGCAGAGAAGAATGGAGAGAGATGCAGAAACATGGAGGTGGATGGGGGCTAAAACAGAAGGAAAGGAAAATATGAGATAGGGGAGATAAGATGGAGAGAAAGAGGGAGATCCACACAGAGCAGAAAGACACTATATAGAAATGCAAAATGTGGAAATTTGTCATAATCCATTGATTATTATTATACCTCATTGTTATTGAGTCTGTTCCAACTCCCAGTGACCCCATATGACAGAGTAGTACTGCCCCATAGGGTTTTCAAAGCCACAGCTTTCTCCTGTGGAGCATCTAGTGGGTTTGAACCACCGATCTTTTGCTTAGCATCCCAGTGCTTTACCGCCACACCACTCTTCAATTACTACTGTAGGAGCCAGGAAAAAGCAGTCCAGGGCAGGTGGAAATTCAGGTTTCACGTTGAAAAGATCTAGGGGCTTGGTGGGACATGGCATTAGGAGGGTATAGAGGGCAGCTTCTCAAGATGATATCTTTGTTACCTAGGGCTGCTGTAACACAAATATCCCAAGTGGGTGGTTTTAACAAGAATTTATTGTGTCATGATGGTTCTGGAGGCTAAAGTCCAAATTCAGGGCATTGGCTCTAGAGGAAGATTCTTCTTTTTTTTTTCTTTTTCAGTTTCTAGTAGCTGCTGGCGATCCTTTGCAGTCATGGGCTTGTAGATTCGTTTGCCTACGTCTTCACATGGCACCTCCTCCTATGCGTTTCTGCATCTGTTCTGCTCATTTTACGGCACCACTCAGAAGGGATTAGGTTTATGGCCCACCCTTTACTGGTGTGCCCTCATTAACCAAAGAAAATCCTATTGCCAAATACAGTCCCATTCACAGGTACAGGGGTTAGAACTTCAGTGTAGCTTTTTGGGAGACACAGTTCAATCCTTATGAGATAGGAAGTCTTACAGTGCCCTGGTTTTAGCTTTCTAATGCATCTCTAACAGAAATACTACAAATGGGTGGCTTTAATAACCAGGGATTTATTCTCTTACAGTTTAAGAGGCTGGAAGTCTGAGTTAAAAGTTCCAGATCTAGGGGCTAGGTGAAGGCTCCTTGGGCCTCTTGCTCCCGGCCCACTGGAGCTGGCAGCATCTCTTAACTCAGGCAGCTGCTGGCTGCTGAGGCTGTCAAAACCCAAGATCAGCAAATAAAATGGCACAGTCCCAAGATTACCAAAACAATATGGCAGGCCACTAGTTCAAGTCCAGAGACAATCCCAAGATCATCAGAAAACATGGCAGGCTGCTGAATGAAGACTCAGGTACATGCAGGGTCCAAGCATGCCAAAAAGCTGCAGAGAACTTTTTGAAAGCTGCTTCTTATATACTGGCAGCAGACCACATCCCTAAGGCAGCTACTCAGCTGCTCCAGTAGCTTCCACCATGGAGCTGATTGCCAGTCTCATCATGGGGAATAACTACACCTAGCTGCCCAGGCTCTCAAAACCAGGCCCAGTCAAGTTGACATACAACTACCACAGCCCCCAATCCTCAAACTCCTGAGATTGACCCAGGCCCCTGCTGGGAGTGCCAGGAGCAGGGCCAACCTCAGGGGAGGACTCTGGCAAGAGCAATGCAGGAAGTGAGGACCCAGCCATATGGTGCAGCCTTTTTTTCTGTAATCTTCATGGAACATCTTCCCCTGGGAATGCAAGGTTTTGTAAATAAAATACAGTGTTGTGCGTTTGCTGCCAAGATGAGGACAATTACATTTCCCAAGAGGCAGAGAATATGTTTTCATTCCTCACTCTGTTCAGATGGAGGATGAGATGGTAAAACTTATCTTTGATTTGTCAAACCAAGCTGTGCGCCTTGTCATTGATAAGATTTCTTTGCTGCTGTTTACTTGTTAGGGGTAGAATTTGTGAACATATAAGCTTAATAGTATTTTTGAAAAGTTAACTGTCATAAATGTTTAACATAGATCAAAATGGTACAAGCTCTGTGATTTCAAAACCAAAGTCTGAAAACTACAGTTGTATTTTAAATCATAGCAAATATTTATTAAATATCAAGCACATAACATTGTAACTACCTATAGGATGTCAACGAAAAGACACATCTCTTGTCTATTTATCAAGTCTTTGTTAATTTCATTTTCTTATTTAAACCTTTTTTTTGTATTGTTTTTGTTTTGGTGTTAAAAGATCCAGGGTAGGGCAGGAATGGGTAAATCCAACAGCAGCAAACAGTGGAAACAATATAAATGGGGGTGGAAATGATACTGGTGAAAGAAATATCACCTCCTAGATTCTATGGGGATAACAGCTTGGTTAGTAATTGCTGAGGGTTTATTCTGTGTCATCAAGCAGATAATTACAATCATCTTCAGAAAGGAAGCTCAACAATATACATTCAACATGAATACAGTTTCATGCTTCATACTCAGCCTTTTCTATTTATTTCTACCACCTCATTGCACCACATCTAATTATGGAGGCAGTCTTTTAGCTAAATGTGTAATTTACTGGCCCTACCTGACTTTAATCTTTGCTCTTAACTGTGGTGTTTATACTGAATGAGCATTTTATCTTCCTTCCAAACCTGCTCCTCCTCCTATATTCTGCACCTCACTTGGTAAACACCCTCACACACCCAAAAGTCCCCAGATAAACCTGGAGATCAACTTGAGTCCTCCCACTGTCACACAGTGGCTTCCTGCTCCGACTTGGACTCAGGACAAGCCAGGGTCTACCTCTTATTTGTTGTATGACCTTGAGCTATTTACTTAACCTCAAAGTGCCTTGGTTTCCTCAACTCTAAAACATGATAATATTACTCCTCAAAGCAGTGTTGCAAGGATTTAATGCAACAATGCAGGAAAGCCCAATCACATTGTCTGAAACATGGTAAGTGCTCATTAAATAGTAGTTAACATAGTTGGAATCCCTGGGTGGTATAAACGATTAACATGTCGCTTGGTTCCTAACTGAAAGGTTGGAGGTTTGAGGTCACCCAGAGGTGCCTCAGAAGAAAGGTTTAGTGGTCTCCTTCCACAAACTCAGCCATGAAAATTCTAAGGAACACAGTTCTACTGTGTAGCACATGGGGTTGCCATGAGTTGAAATTGATTCAACAGCAACGGGTTTGATTTAGTTTTTGTTTTATTGTGGTTGGAGGCCCTGGATGGTACAAAGGGTTAACTCAGTTAGCTGCTAACCCTAATGGTTGGAGGTTCGAGTCCACCCACAGGCACCTCAGAAGAAAGACCTGGTGATCTACAACCAAAAAATCAGGCACTGAAAACCCTATGGAGCACAACTTTCCTCTGAAACACATGCAGTCACCATGAGTCAGAGTTGACTCAATGGCAGCTTTTTTAATTATAGTTACTTCTTGCCCTTCATAGCCAATTAGTTACCAACTCCTGCTGCTTTTACCTTCTAAACAGTTCTTGAATATGCCTCTTGTAGCCGTCCTTCCTATTACTGTGCCATTTGAGGCCTTTCTGATCTCCTCCCCAGGTTACTGCAGTGGCCTCCTAAATTGGGCCCTTAACTTCTCCCTCAAGCTCATCATCCTTCACACTGTGGCTACCCAGGGATTTTTCTAGAGTACACTGGTCACTCCCCTGCTTATTGTCCTCTAGATACCTTCAGGATCACCTCTAAACTCTTCATCATGTGGAGGAATTTTCATTTGGTTTTGGTTTTGTTTATTGATTTGCTTTGGACTTTATGGTTTTTTGATGGTATATCAGTAGTCATTGTCTTTGTAAAAAAATATTGTGATCTCTTTGTGAAGCTTTGTCTAATCATGCAAGCATCAGCCAGAAACTAGGAGAGGTTATACAGGAGAAAGGAGACAATCACAAATACATCTTCCTTTCTTTTCCCCATCCCTCACAAATAAAGAAAATCTAATAAAATAGGGTTCATGAAATGAAGTTGCCTTATTAATCTCAGAAAATAGAGATCAGAAAATACTGAAGCTATGAAAACATTGTAAAGATTAGAAAAATTATTAAAGGAAAACTCATAAAACAGGCAATTTAATATTGGATTCATTTCTTGGGTAGAATGCCTTCCAGGTTAATGTAATGGAGCTGAGAAGTGTTAGCAATTCTTCTTCACACCTTTACAAATCATACCCAGTTGTCAAAGAAAAAATAGAATGCTTCTGCTGTCAGCCCCATTACACAGACCAGAATAATAGTTTAGCAGCCAATTATTGCTACTAACAGAACTCAAGGGAAAGAAATGACAGAAAGCAAGCCAGGGATGGTGAAACTAATTATGATGACAAGCTTCTTATAATAGACAGGTAATGGGTGGAAAACTACTTTATCATCAGTGTTTTTCTCAGCCCAGTAATGAAGACCATGCAGATATAGGTGTAGGGAGACCTGTTTGTTTGGCAGCAGGTGTAGAATAATTGGTGCTGGTTGGTGTAAGATGTGGGGAGGACAGAATAAACATTGCAAATGAAAGTAGTTGTTGTTAGGTGCCATCTACTCGGCTCTGACTCATAGCAACCCCATGCACAACAGAATGAAACACTGCCCAGTCCTGCACCAGCCCTCATAATCCTTGCTATACCTGAGCCCATCATTACATCCACTGTGTCAGTCCGTCTCACTGAAGGCCTTCTCCTTCTTCGCTGACCCTCCACTTTACCAAGCATGATATCCTTCTCAAGGGAATGGTCCCTTCTAACAACATGAACAAAGTAGGTGAGACGAGGAATTTTCTTGGAAGCGGTCTGGCTTCCAAGGAGCATTCTGGCTGCACTTCCTCCAGGATAGATTTGGCAGTCCAGGCATCTACCCTTGGCACTCAGCTCTCTCTTGCAATCTCTGCCCCAGAAAGAGAGCTGCCACCCCCAGTAATTCTGAGCCTCCTGATGAATAGAAATTTAAAAATAATAATAGAATAATGA